GGTATCCCCATGGGAGTGCGTGCAGCTCCATGCAGAGCCCAGATCCACCGGGCATTCCCCTGCGAGCGCACGCAGCTCCATGCAGAGCCCGGTGGGACAGAACCCCCACGGGAGCGCGGGGTGCACCCCAACACGGGGCCCTACCTGGCGCCGCGGTCGCCGCCGCCGCGCGCCTGCTCGGCGCCCACGGAGAGCAGGGCCATGGCGCTCACGGTCTCGGCCTCGTCCGCCTCGCCGCGCTGCGCCTCCAGCAGCGAGCAGCCCACGGCGGCCGCCGAGCGCTTCAGCGAGCCCCAGTGCCGGCCTGCGCGGGCGGCAGCGCTGCGCCCGGCGACACGGGCACCCGCCACGCGCCCCCGCACCCACGGGACCCCAGAGGGGCAGCACAGTCCCCAGTAGGGGCCACTCAGTGTCCCCTGAGCGTCCCCTCCTGGCAGGGGGACCCCCCAATCCAGAGGACCCCAGAGGGGCAGCCCAGTCCCCAGCAGGGCCCCTCAGTGTCCCCTGCACATCCCCTCCTGCCCGGGGGGACCCCCACACCCAGGGGACACCAGAGGGGCAGCGGAGCCCCCAGCGGGGCCAATCAGTGTCCCCTGCGCCTCCCCTCCTGGCAGGGGGGAACCCCCAACCCAGGGGACCCCTCCAAGCCCCAGGGACCCCCCAACTCACCGTACCTGCCCAGGTCGCCCCCAGCAGAAACAGTCCCGATAGCCCCTGAGACCCCCCCAAATTCAGTTACCTCCCCTCGGTGTCCCCCTCCCGAGGTGTCCCTGGGGACCCCCCTGTGTCCCCCAGCAGGACAGCCCGTCTCCCCCAGCCGTGGCCACTCACTCTGGATCTCAATGACCTTCTCCAAGGCGGCCACCGCGTTGACGTTCGGCTTCTGCTGCAGCAGCGACGCATCCAGGGGCTCCAGCTGCCGGGGAGGGGACCGGGGAGGGGGGACATGACCAGGGCCATCAGAGCCAGAGGCCAAAGCCAAGCCCCGTGTCGTCCCGCTGCCACCAGCGCCACCAAGGGAAGGGAGGCCGGGAGCGGGGAGCCTGCAGGAGACAGCGTGGCCGGTGGCCATCCCCGCGTGGCCGCCCTACCTCGAGGCCGAGCAGCGCGGACACGCAGGCCTCCGAGGCGTCGCAGATGGCCGTGAGGTCGTGGCCGCCCTCCAGGGCCAGCACCACGCGCCCGCCCGCCAGCTTCATCAGCTGCTTGGTCAAGTGGCCGAAACCTGGGCGAGACGGCGGCCTCGGTGACCCGCGGCCTCGGCGACACGCGGCCACCCAACCCCGGCGCCCTCCGCGGCGTGCCCCCTGCTCACATTTGGCGGTGACGGAGTAGCCGCCGAGCGGGGACAGGTGGCCCTCGACGGCGTCGAAGCCGGCGGACACGAGCACCACGTCGGGCGCGAACTCGTTGGCGACGGGCATCACCACGGTCCTGGGGACGGCGCGTGAGGGCGGCC